GTAAGCGATAGCTAAAATTTAACCCTTACATATTTTATAAATTATTACATATTATTAAGTAATTTAAGAGTCATCGATTACAAATAAACTTTAAACTACATATATGCAAAATTGTTTGAGTTAAATAAAAAAAACGATCGTACCGGAATTAGCTATTTTTTCTACACGAGTTATGTTGATACCACCTACCTCTGCTGAATTCTGCTGAAAGCGAAAGATTCTGGTCATTTATTGCAAATATCATTCACCACGGCGTAACAAACTTGTAAATGAACGTATTCGATGGCATTTTGCATAAGAAAGAAATAATCCACATCATATTGTTCAAAATAAAGAAAATAGGCTTGATCAAATCGTTCAAACTAATACAGCTATTTCTAATGAAGCAAGTCTTGAAAATACTGCATTGAATGATGATATGGAAAATAATGATGATAATTTGGATGAAAATTTTGAAGAAAATTTAATGCAAACAATTGAAAACATTGATAATTTTAATACTAATGATCAAACTATATATAATGAAGCCGTAATTGAATCTTCTATTCAAGCTACGCATAGCATGACTGGATAGTTTTAGAAAATCTCGATAATATTTAATCATTAAATTAATCATTAATTGCATGCGAAAATTGCAATTTGCTGCTAAAAATTTATTTTTTAAAAAAAATAAAATAAATATTGGAGTTTTTTTTATCTTGGCGTATTAATTTTATCATAATTTGTAAAAATATGCTAAAATATGTAAAAATATGTAAGAATATATACGGATTATACATTCAAATCAAACAGCACAATGAAGCAGGCCAAACTTTTGTAAAGCCGGTAATTTATATAAAACACATAACTTTCGTAACATAACCCTAGTTGCAACTGGTCTATAATGAAAATTATTGAAAAATTCATACAACAAATAAAATTGAAATTAAATTTCAACACTTGTAAATTTTTTTTGATTCTTCATGAAAAAAAGACTTAAATAATTCTTGAACGCGCCGACATTTATAATGTTCAAATTACCTGTAGAACGAGTATCATATATTATGCATATATCTTTTATGTATAGAGTGGAAATTTGCGTCGACATGTAAATTTTTGTTATGTAAATAACGTTGGCCGAAGCTTTTACTTTTAGAGCTGGCGCACAAAGTCTATTAATGCTGGTAAAATTTTTGTAATGGAGGTCAATAATCAAGTGCCACTTTATTAATTAATAACTGTAATGTAAAAATTACGGATGTACATACTTCAATTTGTAATTTTATTGAATCTAACATGCAGAAAAAATTACTTAACCGGAACGGCCGAAAAAATCATTCAGCAGATTTTTTTCCATATGATTCAGAAATTATGAAACCATCTGGCAAAAAACTGACCGACCAAATACAGTATTTACCAATTCTATAAGTTCTGATTCGGTAGCGACTGAAATCACAAATTTATCGAATCGACAAATATTCGTTTTGTTAATTTTTTGCCAGAGGTTCCAGAATTTATGAAACAGTTGTAAATATAACATTTTTGCTGGTCTGGTTCTATTTGCCAATCCCATTTAACGAGAACCAATTAATATAATTTCAGAATTTGCATGGCCTTATATAGTTTTTACTAACGCTAATATGTGTAACGGATTTATAATAAATTTAAATTTAAAATCCGTGACATCCGAAAATCATGTGAATGGAAACTTGGTCATGTCCTGGAGTTGTTGGAACTTTGGTACGATCTACCCTATACTAAACGTAACAAGTATTTTGACGAACTTTGATCAGATAATACAAAACTATACAAAACTATAACGAAGTCATAACGACAATGAATACGGAAGATAAATATAGACTACTGTATGTTACACGCAAATGTTACACGTAAGGCGTGTATGATACGTAACGGGCTTCGCACGAAATTGTATAGTTCTTGTATTCTTAAGTAAATACGTAGTACGAATTTATAAAAATATTATAATCATATTGTTTTTTACAACGCTCGTTCTTTGGACCTTTTTAATAAAATTATGGATAAGAGAATAAAAATTTTTATTCTCTCATTTTTCATATCAATTCAATTCCTAGTAATATTTTACTATATTCCTGACGGCAGAGAATTTTCATATACATCTCAAAAAATTAATGTTGATAACGCAAATGGTAAAATTATATCTAAATTTCATATAATTATTATTCCAGAATATGAAATTTTATCTGAAATTACATTATTCAAGAACAATTAAAAAATTATGAACGTGCTAATGTTACTGGGTTCGTTGATCCTCTTATTGGAACTGCTAAAGGTTAGCATTAGTTTTAATATTTTATCTCATCAGAATTCAATCAATAAACTTTATTATTATTTAATTATGATAGACGGACATGTGTTCCCCGGTCCTTGTCTCCCTTTTGGAGTAGTTAAAGTAGGATTCGATGCTGAAGGTAGGGATTCTAATGCAGGGTAAGAATGAAAATTACATTATAGGGAGACTTCACTTCTGATTGACCTTAATTATACAGTTCAAAGTAATATTTTAAAAAAACAGATGCAATAATAGATAATAAAAGATAATAAAAGATAGAGATAAATAAAAAGTTGATAGAAAGTTTTATTGGAGCTTATAAGATTTCACTATTCAAAATCAAAAAATTCGACATGTCAAATGACATCATCTAGTTGCATTCCAACATGCCATTCGACCATATATGCCAAATGTCTGTTTACTGTTGGTTGAATATTGTGAATGTTGGTCAAATGGTATGTCGAATGGCATTCCATTCAACATGTCGAATTTTTTGATTTTGACTAGTGAAAAAAAGAAGATCTCACACCCACTTGTTTTTAAAAAAAATTTAGTATATTGATAACTTTATAGAATTAGGTGTTTGGACGTCAATTTACTACTAAATATTTTAAGTAAAAAGGGGAAAGATCTTTTTTAGCAGTAAAGTCTTTCAATTAAAGTTACTAGCGAAATATAACTGGAGTTGTGAAATAATTTCATCATTACTGGTGGAATTGGTAGAATTGGTGTTAAATTGATGAAATTGGTGAAATTAATTTCACTAACATTTCTACTTATAAAATTTAATAATTGTATAATTAATGTAAAATTGAATAGAAATTAATATCAAATCAGATAAACTTTCTATCCATATTTATTTTTTTATGAAGATGAAATTACCTACTGAATTATGAATTATGAATCATGAATCGTAAACATAATTTGCAGGTACACAGTTAGTGGAAGCATTTCCGGAATATCTCGTGAGTATTTGATAAATAAATTGCTTGGCACGGTTGGCTAATACTTATATTTTTACATCGAAAATTTTTGTTAATACAGATCTACATGTTAGTGGAACAGGAGGTAATGATTTAATAGTATTCTAATTGCATATTAAAGACTACGTGAACCCTATTGACCACCAACATTCAAATAATCAGGTGAACCAAAATATGGTGTGATAAGTCAATTTCCGGTGGTGGATCTGCCAGATAAAAAAATTAGAATATATGACTACTCCTCAACAAGATCGTTTGAACATTTCGAAGTTGGTTACTCAAAATTTGGATTAAAACGTTATAATATCATGGTTGAATTAACCGCAAGTCGTAGAGTTGGTCTTCATCGTTATACTTTCCCACCATCTGAAAATAATGCTAAAGTTATCCTTGATTTGTCTCATATTCTTTCTTTCGGTTGGGGATACGTGTAGCTATTGATTTAATTGACTCATATTTTATTTGTTTTATTTATATTTACTAATTTTTGATGATATTAGTTCCAGCTTTGATGACGGTGCGATAACATCTCTCTCCCTCAATCAAATAAAAGGAGTAGGTCGATACAGAGGTGGTTGGAATAGCAATGGTCCTTATAAAGTTTACTTTTGTTCACAATTTAATGTCAATGCTACCGAGCAGGCAACTTGGTGGAACAACAGAATAGATATAAATACGACATTTTGCGTTGGAACTAATGGTGATAAAATTGGTGCAATTCTAACTTTTGATACTATCAAAAATCCCGTAATTATTTCAAGAGTTGGAATTTCATTTATTTCTGCAGATCAGGCTTGTAATAATGCTGAAAGTGAGATACCTGATTGGGATTTTGATGTTGTAAAACAAAATGCTGTTGATGCTTGGGATAATGAATTAGGTAAAATTAGGGTTGAAAGTGATGATGAAAATCTTAAAAAAATATTTTATAGTGGTTTATATCGGACTATGTTAATTCCAAGTGATAGGTTGGTTAATTATTGACATGAATGATTCATAAATGATTCATGAATTTTGTTAAATTATAGTTATAATATAATCTATTATATACTAGAACCGGTGAAAATCCAGCGTGGAAATCATTTGATAGGAATGGCAAACTTGTACCATATTATGAAGATTTTTATACTTTGGTATGTTTGTTTTCGATCTTATCTGCCTTAAAAATCATAAAAAAACCATAGAATAATGCTGATTTTCAATATGACCAATAGTGGGATACGTTTAGGTAATTTTATTATTATATAAAATAACTAGAGTATGCATAAAACTAATAATTTAATCTATAGGACAACAAACCCACTATTTACACTTTTTCAATCGCAACGTGCTGTAGATATTGCTAGATCATTAATTGACATTTATGAGAAAGTAGGTTATATGCCTGATGGAAGAAGTGGTTCATCAAATGGAATTACACAAGGTGGATCTAATGCTGATATGGTTATTGTAATTACATAATCTCATTTAATTTATTTAATTTATTTAACTCATTTAGTTCATTTAATTTAAATGGATTTGTTTAATCAATTCACACTACTTTCGTTAATAATAGGCCGAAACATACTTAAAACAAATTGATGTAAATGATAAAATAGACTGGAACATAGCATACGAAGCCCTGCTTAAAGATGCAGAAGTAGATCCATGGGAAGAAGGTTTGTTCCAAGGTCGATTACACTTAACCGATTATAAAAAATATGGATATATTCCTTCACCTTATGATCGCAATCTCGGATATATTGACACTCCATGTAGTAGAACTTTAGAGTATAGTGCTAATGATTATAGTATTAGTCTTGTTGCTAAAGGTATCTTAAGTTTATTTATTATTAATCATAATGATGACGATACTGATTTTAAATATTTCTATATTTTTAATCTATTTAAATTTCAAAGAATTAGGTAAAATAGATGATTATATAAAATATAAAAATCGAGCGACTAGTTGGGAAAATCTTTGGCATCCAAATGTAACTTATGATGGTGGGTATTTCCATTTTTATAATTTCTCTTAAGTTTCTAGTGGAATAAATTTAGATTTGACACTTTCATTCTGATTATTTATGAAAAAAGGAGTGGAAGGATTCATAATACCAAGATTTATAAATGGCACATTCGATACAGAATGGGCATATGGCGATAATTTGGTAGAGGATTTTTATTCGTTTTATGAAAGCACCTCATGGGATTATAGTTTAGATGTACCTTTCGGTGGGTATACAATTTTTTTTGGAATCAAATGAAATTTTGAAATTTAATTCTTCTAAATTATTTTTGTCATTCATTAATAAATAAGATGTGAAAAGGCTAATACAGTTGTCAGGAGGTCCAGAACGGTTTGAAGATCGACTTGATAAAACATTTGCAGATAAATCATTTTCAGGAGGTTATTATAATATAGGAAATGAACCTAGTTTTTTTCATACATGTTTATATCATTTTATTGGAAAACAATATAAAAGTGTGGACGTGATTAGAACTATTATGAAAACTAAATTTGGTGTTGAACAGGATGGAATTCCAGGTTTGTAAATTTAAAATTGAAAAAATGAAACGAATGGCATTACCAAATTTGCATTAAATGCCATCACTCTTTGCATAAATTTTATTACTCTTGTTTTATATAAATTTATCAAGTACAGTAAAATATACTTATAAATATGAATTTTTTTTTATTCGATAGGAAATGATGATTCTGGTGCGATGGGAAGTTGGTATGCTTTTAACGCTATTGGAATATTTCCATTGTAGGTGGTTTCAGTTTATCAACATAAATTGGAATGTAAATTGGAATGTTGGATATTTAATAATACTAATCATTTTGATTTTATAATTATAGAGGCGGAACCGACATCTACCTAATAAACTCACCATGTTTTGATAAAGTTACTATATACCTTTCAATATCACCATTAAAAACATTCACAATTGTAGCTTATAATCTGACGGACAACAATATATATATTCAAAATGTTAAAATCAATAATAAAGAATGGGAAAAAACCTGGTTTAGGCATAAAGATATTTCTGGAGGCGCAATAATGGAAATACAAATGGGATCTGAACCAAGTAAAATTTGGAGTGTTATCAGTGAGGATGAAGATAATAAAGTGATAGAAGATAGGGTGGTTCCTCCTAGCATGAGTGATTATATGGATAAATAAAATTTTACGAACAATTAAAATATTAAATTTTAGAAATTGTAAACTTAATAAAGGGCATATAATTGTTCTTGCCATGAAAACTGATTTGTTCTTGTGGACTTTACGAATTAATTAATTCTTCTAGATTATAATTTTTTTCAGATATCATACAGTACTAAGAGTTTGAACATTACTTATGCACGGATTTGCAAAATTGGGCCATATAATTAGTCTCCAAAAGTATCGATAATATTAGTACAGTCCGTAACGACTCAAACCGAACCCCAAGTAAACCGAAATACCTAACCCGCGACGATCCATTACGAATATAGTTTAAATAAAGCGTTGATATAATTTAAGTATAGAGCTGTACGACCCTTACGACTAGGGTTAGGTTATAGTCGGTTAGCCACCCGGCTATAGCGATAGCTGTAGTCGATCTTGTTCTTTTTCTTGCCTTATAATTTTGTTATAAATAAGAGGTCGAATGCCTTTTGTTAAATGACGATTACCGTGTGTAATTGGCTCCACATACAAATAAAGTTAATAAAAGTCCTTAAATACCAAACCCAAACATTCTTTAAAATTGCATTGAAATACTTAAGTATCAATAATTAGTAGCCGCCTTATACCTGCGCCAAATTAAAAATCCGCCTCACCCTCTACTTAGTATTGTCTCTCCTGTTGACAAGCGACCGACCGTCGTTTTCCTTCTTGTTTGTGGGTGGTGTGTTTTGTCCATTTACCCACTAACAATACTCACTGAATGAAATGATTAGTGCGAATGAAATGATTTGTACGTAATGGGAAATAAATATTTATGTTCTTGTTTTGTGAATTTGTTTTGCTGTTTTATGTAGTAAATTATTAAATGTCCTTTATACTCACATACTGAATGAAATGATTATTAATGGGAAATAAGTATTTATGTTCTTGTTTCGTGAACTTGTTTTATGAGTAAAATTTATTAAATGCTCTTTATACTCACTAACTAATTTAGTGAGAATAAAATGATTTGTACGTAAGAGTAAATAAGTATTACGGTCTTGTTTGTAACTTTGTTTTGTTGATTTTATTTCGTAACTATTAAATAATCTTTATACTTACGGGCTAAATAACATAAGCAATAAGACGTATTTATGAGCTTAAATTGCTAATAATAGATCAATAAATGCTCTTTATGCTTACTCACTAATAATTAAAATTGCGTAAAAAATCTTACTTTAAATAAACTACAAACATTATAATAAAAAAATAACAATTGATACAGTATACTTATTAATTCTTTCATAAAATTTATCTTCATTTTTTTCCACGCCAATTCCATATTTGTATCAAATGGCGGTTTTCCAAATTCCTATGGAGTCACCTGCCTCAGCAGACTTCAGATAATATGTATAAACGCTTTGTGCTTATTGATTTCGACTCCAATTCCTAAATAATAACAATAACCAACTTGATACATTCCGTTAGAATTATTCAGGTCTGCCGATTTTTGATAATATGTAAATGCTTTGTTTTCATCCTTTTCAATTCCTATTCCATATTCGTAACAATAACCAAGACAAGTAATTCCTCATATTAGCAGTTTTTCGAACTGAGCGAACGCTTTATATTCATCCAATTCAACGTTAATTCCGTGAAGATAAAAATATGGAGAATTTACAGATAAGGGCCCAAAAATGAAAATAATTACAGATAAAGGCCCAATATTTGAAAATTATTACAAATAAGGGCCTAAATATACCGTCAAAATTGCTAGCCGATTTAAACATAATGGTATCCTGATTAATTGCCACATATCGTAATTAAATAGGTGTTTAGAGTTATTATTCATTATTCAGAATTAAAAAGAAAACAAAAATCCGACCGACAAAACGGATTTTTGAGCAAAACGAAAAATTACCTTTGTAGTGACCTAATAGGTTTACTTAAACTACCAATATGGTCTCTCGGCCCCTACTTCAAGACGAACACGATTTATAATATCACGAGGTCAAAGTACTGCTGTTTCTTTAACTAATGGCACAGTCCACGTGCTTTGAATGCTTCAATAGAAGTTAAACTAGTTAGATCATGATGGATCAGCCTCACTATATGAATGTAGCCACTTTTGCGCCTGTTAGCTGAAAAAGTAAAAGGGTATAAACTGGTTTGGTTTGTAAAACAAATAGCCAACAGCTTATTTTGTTTGTTCGTTTTGAACTTATAAGGAGAAGAAAATAGAAGAATATTCGACAGAATAACTATTCAAGGCTGAATGAACATTTTTATGTTAGTAAACTCATATCGATCTATCAATCTATAATTTTGTATTTGACATGTTTTTGTTATAAGCAGGCCGGTTTTTAAGAAATATATATGGAATAAATTTACAGCTAAATAATTGGTTGACGAATCGAATGTATATTTTTATTGTGCATTTGAATTTATATTCGAAACACTAATAGATTATTATTACATTTCTTATGCTAACAATTAATGACTATATTACAATCATATTCAAATCATCAAAACGGGGCCTAAACCATAGGTTCTTAAGCGCATAAGTATTTTGGGCCCTTATCTGTAATAATTTTCAAATATCAGGCCTTTATTTGTAAATATTTTCATTTTGGTCCCTATTTGTAATTATTTTCGTTTTTAGGTCCTTATTTTAAATTCCCCTAAGAAAAATAGTCCAAACTTTATGTCATCACCTTGATAATGTTAATCGGTTTTTATTTGCTAAAATACTATATATGTTCTGACTCATTTCATGATTTTATCAATTCCATATTGACCTAAGATCATTCTTGAATTTTCACCGATTCCAAAATGAACCAGATCAAAATTTTAAGGATCAGGATGTGACCAATCATTGGTGTAACAAATAAGCACCAACTAATTTATTTAATTGATTATTATTTGTCACAGATGATTGGTCATGCCTCGAAATTTAATAAAAATTTAGAACAGAATTATTTAATTTCATTATACTATATTACAAATGTATTAGGTATGTTAAATTAATTAATGCAAAAAAGGAATGAAAATAAATAAAGTTATTGAATCGCAATTTTAAATACAACCTTTTTATTTTTTTCTTAAAAATAGAACAATACAACTTTCTGATACATGAAACCTTCGATCAAATATTAGAAACTTTTATTTATCAAAGAAAAACAATCGTTGTTTAATGGATTAGAATAATTATAATCAATGTTTAACTTTATAGAAGAGACAACTTGTAATAATTGGAGTATCAGATTAAAATTTATTTATGCATTATTTTGTATATTATCATTACTTTTATTTTTTACTATACAAAATAACAAACTTTTTATTTTATTTTTTATTTAATTTTTGTTATTTTTTTTAATTTTTTTTTAATTTTTTTAATTTTTTTATTTATTCTATTTGATTTTTATATATTAATTAGTTTTTAACCAATTTTCAAGCCCAAATAATGATAATAATATTTTTTTTGAAACTTTGGCTAATTACACCATGAATCTATATTTATTAAAGTTTTATTGCTGCCAAAAACAATATAGCAATAAAATCTGTAGTCTGACATCATGTGGCTGCTTTAACATGAATAAGTCATTTGAGTCCTACATATAATTAGCTACACTTATGAGGTAGCATAATCGATAGTGTAATACCTAGAATAACTTTTATAGCCATTAACTGCTTAGAGTTTCGTCCAAACAGAAAGAAAACTAAACTAAAAAAAAATAAATAAAAAAATAAATAAAAAATATAAGGAAAAATGATAAAAAACAAATATATAAGAAAAGAAAGAGTGTATAAAAAAAACAAAAACAAAAACAGGAATTATCTCACAGCAGACAATCACAATTATAAGCCTGTGTTGAACTCTATAAAAATTACATACTACTATCTAAACTAGTCTCTATTTTAAATTTATATAATTAGTATATCTAAGAAAAAACTTTAAAGCAAGGAAAAAATAGTTCTTTTTTGACTTAAGCACTGTAAAGAGGTCAGAAATTGCACTGTTGGTCTGGATACATTGTTTGTTTTAGATGCCACATTCGAAGCACATAATTCACATGTTTGCAGCCCATATATATTTATGTGTTTGTTGTAACAGATGTAGATAAACAATGTTAACCAATTTGAAAAGTAAACAATATATTAATCTTTTGGAAGAAGTAAGCTAAGATATCTACTTTTTTACAAAATTTTCTCTAAAAAAAAAAGCAGGTCGATAACAAAAATATGTAAAGTTCTTCTGTAAGTTTTACAGTTATATAGTCTATTCTTTAAGCTTCAACTATCTTAGCGAAAGTCTTTTAGCTCTACTTGTTTCCAGAATAATCCTTCTGGTTTGTGTGCTGAATAACTTAAGGAGTCTATTAATAAAGAGAAAAAAAACTTGACCTCAAGAAAAACTATCCAAGTTGCATCCACTCCTCAGTATATTATATCTCTTGAACTTCATTAACAACAATCTATGCATAGATAAGATCAGTTTTCAGAATATTCTTCTGGTTTGGATGCTGAATAACTTAGAAAGTTCACACAAAAGCAGAAAGTTTGACCCCAAGAAAACTACTCAAAGTATACTCGCTTCTTGATATTGCACATCTTTAGGCTTTATTAACAACTGTTTACTCTACAGTAGAACTAAGAAGTATCTATCTTGGATGTTCCTATATCATTTTTCTGTAGTTCAGTTTCTTGTTATTGTTGCTCAGAGGATTGTCAGAAAGAGTGTGATGCTAATTGAATTGGATAATAATAATATTTCAATTAAATAATTATAATAATTTATTATATAATAATTATATCTCAGTGGAATTTTAGCATTTATAGCTGGTATTAATACTACTACCTATTTCTTTTATCAAATTTAAAGATAGGATGTAATTTTAGACCAAGATTAGAGTTAGATATAAAGGTTCAAATCTTTGTTAAGGTTAGGTTTTTGGGATCCTAAACATTTTTACTTAGTACTTTTGATATGTGTTAGCTAATAGGTTTTTGAGATATAATAACCCTAGTGATATTGC